AACCGTATATTGGCAGTTCGTTCGCTACGCCGAGTGAGCTAAGTCGTTTTGATCAAACGTGATTCAACAGTTGAGTTCACAAGAAAAATTCCATACACATAATATATATGGTAGGCAGCTAAAACACATACAATCATAGTAAAACAGTTGGAATTAATAAACGGGTAATCAACAATGTCAAAAAGGCCTTGAGAAGTATGGAGAAACTGATCTCTCCAGAAGCTAGATTAATTTATGTGTCGGCTTGGCATAGTAGCGGCCATTAAAATACCAAACATCCCATACATATACTAACTATTGTAAGATTTTTCGTTGACGTGTAGATTTTCTGATTAAGACTCACTGCATAATTGTGTTTTCTAATGTGAGATTTTTAATTTCAGCGATGAACACTTTGGTCTATCCAGAAGCTAGAATAACCTAGGTGGGCTTCACGTGATGCCACCCACTACAAGTAGCACTTTAGAAAATGTGAACAATAGCAAAGACCAATTACAGCATAAGTCTACGTTAAGCATCTCCACAACAGGTAGCTCAGATAATTCTCACCCGTATGTGTTACAAATTGCAAAGGGCCTATGGGTTTTAAACACTAAAATCTGAAGTTTCACACTGTGATGAATATATCATTGGAGCAAACCCCTCACTAGTAGCTTTCAGGAGCATTTTTCGTCTGTTTGACAGCAGAACTTCGTATATAACCTCTATTAATTTTTTTAGCTCAACTTAGGGGACAAGAACATGGCGTTCTTCGTCCCATCCAAAAATCATAAGACTACGTATCAAAAGGCGACACACGAAATCATTTCAAGGACTTGTCCTAATACATTACTAACATTACCTTGGATCTTCACCTATCAAAAGATGAAGATGCGACCTATTAATTACCTGTAACATACAAAAGACTGAGCCCTCATTATAATACGTATTTAAGGATGTGTTTGAAGGAGTATTCATATATCGAAAAACGTTCGTTCTAAGCTGGTTAGTTGTAGCAAAGGATGTGTAGCACGGTGTGCCCACTCATGATCTGGTGTGGATGCGTGGTTGAGCGACTTCAGCTAGGTGCGTCTAGTAAAACCAATGAAGTCAGCATCAGATGTCGTAAATCACAGAACAATTTAGTTTGGAGATTTATTAAGCGCTACAGGGCAATACCCAGAAATTGGGAGCACAATAAAGCAGACCGAACTATAGAAACACCTACTCTTCACAAGTGGTCAATCTGCTGAACTCGTAAATGACTCGTTCGATACAAGGAACATTTCCGGAATCTTGTGAAGTTAAGTTTGATATATCCCTAGGTATTACATAATTCTAATGTGTTAACATTCCCCTTTTGTTTTCTAAATACAACATTTGCAGCGTGGCGTCGAGTCGCAGTTGACTATGATCACCACCACAAGTAGGTTGCGTACCAGATATTAGAAGGCGATTGGAGGTCGTAGCGAGATATATTTGTTGGCGATCTCATGGTATCAAAATAATGCCGAGATCGAGCCAAAGGAGTACAAGCGGAATCACTGAGCAAACTTAAATGCGTGCAACGTCACAACCAAAAGAAAAAATGTATGTATTTTGGTACAGTTGAACAAACAAGTACGGTAAAACAATCCATGATACAATTGGCTATAACAATAGTTGCTTCCATTACACCAATCGCGTTCTCTTGATAAAGAAGGTCAATACACATTGTTCCTTCCTGAAAGTACAAATCAAAGAAATTTCTTTAGTCGAACACCACTCCTGTTCGCTGAAAGTCATCTGACCTTGAGTTCTGAATGCGGCTATTTGTTTTGTGCGTTATCAACTGTGGTGGGTGGCATTCGACTAGACTATAATTTATCAACTAACCAGTCAGTTTTAGAGTGACAGGTCTTGGATTTAGGTGAGTTGACGTTTAATTTGATGTCAATTCTTGATGAAAACCATAGATCTAATCACTAACCATCAATTGTTAATCATAATTCAACAAACTGCTATGTAACCTCCATTTAGCTGTAGTAAGGAGGTGGACATTATCAAGGTCTTTATATATAAAGACGCTAGAGTCGTTCGTAGGTCCTCCATAAATTATAGTCGCACTGAAATGTTTTAGGATTATTTATTCCTGCATGCTGGTTATATGGTTCATATAACTTTTCAGTTAGCCTACCGGTGGTTAGCCATCGGTATTCAGATTTCAGGCGTATGTAGTAAGGACAGCTGTCCTTCTGAAGACCTGACTATTGCACTCAAGAGCTAAAGATATGTTTAACGATCTAACTGATTCATTTTCTGACACAAGAAATGGTTTTGTGATTGAGGACGAGGTCAACAAATTCTTCAACAAGATAGACTCTGGGCAAATCTCAAATGTTCTACCAGGTCTATAATTCTAATTATCCAATCACATTAAGTGAAATCCACAGTCATTGTGAGACAAGTGTTTCGAATGGATCAATTCTGATTTGGTTTTTAATGATGTCAAATCAGATGTCCACTATTCATTAGTTCCTAACGAAGTCCTTGATGAATATGAGGGAAATATTTCAGATTAACCATATTCTGACTATGTGATAACAAATGTTGATTCTCTCAAAGCGGATTTATTTCTAGTGTAAACCCCGGTCAATATGAAGTACGAGTTCTTATTGGGTTTAATTATAATTCCAGATTTGATGGTCCCATTTCAAATGTTGCTTATCCTCACAGTTCATTCGCTCCTGGTCAGCGTGAGAAATGTTTCAGAGTCACATCCTGATCACGTTTCAGATTTCCTTTTAGCAGATGTTGGGTGCTCTAACTGCGGATCATCGTCGAACAATCAGTTGAGTGGAACTCATCACTATACATCAACTTCATTGATTATGAAAAGGCATTCGACAGTGTAGATAGGAGGACATTATGGAAACTTCTTCGACACTACGGAGTTACTGAGAAGATTGTCAACATTATGCAGAACTCATACGACGGACTACAGTGCAAAGTAGTGCATGGAGGACAGCTGACAGATGCATTCCAAGTAAGGACTGGAGTCAGACAAGGCTGTTTACTCTCTCCCTTCCTCTTTCTTCTGGTGGTCGACCGGATTATGAAGACCTCAACATCTGAAGGAAAACACGGAATACAATGGACAGCTCAGAACCAATTAGACGATTTGGATTTCGCAGATGACCTAGCCCTCCTATCACGTACACACGAACAGATGCAGATGAAGACAGCCAGTGTAGCAGCAGTCTCTGCATCAGTAGGCCTCAGCATACACAAAGGGAAAACTAAGGTCCTCAAATTCAAAGCGGAGAACAGCAATCCAATCACACTTGATGGCGAAACTCTGGAAGATATAGAGTCCTTCACATACCTGGGAAGCAAGGAGGATCCGATGCAGACGTAAAGGCGAGGATCGGCAAAGCAAGGGTCGCATTCCTACAATTGAAGAACATATGGAACTCAAAACAACTTTCAACCAATATCAAAGTGAGAATCTTCAATACGAACGTCAAGGCAGTTCTACTGTATGGAGCTGAAACTTGGAGAACTACAACAACCACAATCAAGAAAGTACAAGTATTTATAAATAGCTGTCTACGCAAGATACTCAACATCCATTGGCCGGATACCATCAGCAATAGCCTACTGTGGGAGAGAACAAACCAACTTCCAGCTGAAGAAGAAATTAGGAAAAAACGATTGAAATGGATAGGACATACATTACGCAAATCGTCAAATTACATCACGAGGCAAGCCCTAACTTGGAATTCTAAAGGGAAGCGAAAAAGAGGAAGGCCAAAGAACACATTGCGTCGGATAATAGAAGCAGATATGAAAACGATGAATTACAACTGGACGGAGCTAGAAAGGATTGCCCAGGACAGGGTTGGATGGAGAATGCTGTTGAGCGGCCTATGCTCCTTCACGAGGAGTAACAGGCGTAAGTAAGTAAGTAAGTAAATAAGTGGGTGCTCTAACACCTCATGTAGGTCACGTAGAATCCCTAGTCAATTCTATGATAAATCAATTGATATAACAAGTGTTTGCGAAGCAGTTGCGAGACCGAAATACCCAGAAGTGATGTCCTCTCAGTGGGAAAACTTACACTTAGTCCCCAAGTATGAAAGCTCGAGATTCCGGGTAACGCTCGATGCCTACAACGGTAGAAATAAAGATTTGTTTGAGGCAAACCTATTGTTAGTCACCGGCTACCATGGGACTGTATCTCCTAACGTTGCTCCACTGTCTTGTGGATAAGATCTCTAAGTCAAATGCTCGATGAGTGACTTCCTAAGAAAACAAACTACTTCGGTTTGAACACACGAATAGTATTACAGCTCACAGAAATCAAATGACAGTGTGGCACATATATATTTTTTGGGTGCCTCGTTGTACCAGTGTAAAGAAATAAATTAATTAATTGTACTTGTCATATACAGCTAATAATGTACATCTTGTCAGTTTTAAAACTAGTGATTTGAAAAATATTTTGATGTGTGTAACAAAACTAGACTTTGTAAACCTCGCTTTATGGTATTCCTTGCAAAGGGAAATGATACTGCTTAACTGTTTCAGTCAAGGTGTGCACAGCAAAGTCTGTAAGCTGACAGATTTACCGATCACACCACCAGTCAGTCAGTCAGCTACAACGTAAGACCAGGCACATTTATGCATCGGTCCACACCACCGCTGCGCTGAAAATCTTGTGATGCGATTTACTCGTACAGCTAGAGAGTTTGCATATTGGTTTTATACAAGGCATCAGGAAAGTCCAGTCTTTTTACTACAATTAATCTCGCAGACTAAGTACTTAGACTACAGTTTCACCCACTCAGGATTGCTTACATTAGTTGGTACAGTTGTTTTTCTGTATAGTTGTATAAAATTTCCATTGTCCCATTTAAATCACATAACTTCTCACTTTTTTGTCACCTTATATATTTAGTTTGTCTCTGAACTACATAATTACCAAGTACGCGAAATTCAGTACTGAACGCTGTATATATGTTTCTCAATCAAACGTTAAAATGCAAAAATATGTGTTCTCATTCGCTGCATCTGAATTTGTAAATTTTCGTTGGATTGAATTCAAGTCTTTGGCTGAAATTGAACAACTTAGTTATTCTGTTAGTGAATCTAAAGATGATTGGTTGAGGCCATATATTGTGGTCGAAATGGAAAATGATGATTCTGTTTTGTCAATTATTAAACGCAGCGTTTTAATCAAGTCTGCTTTTCATTTATGGTGTGAAGCAGCAACCTTATCAGAATTAATTCAACAGGTAAGTTGTGTTGAAATACCTCTGATCCATATTTATTTAAATAGGTTGCCAATCTTCCTAATGAGTTGATAGATCCTTATTTAAATGGTTGTGGCACTTTCAAAATAGTTTTAAGTTCTGCTCATAAGAAGCTCAAACAAGAGGAGAAAATACCTATAATAGAAACTATTCTTGATGCCCATGAGAGGATCGATGCCCAAGTTTCTTTATCATCACCAGATGTGAGTAATTTGTAAGTTATTGTTCGTAGCTTTCATGCTTGGTGTTCTATGAGTATCTTTTGCGGGTTATTTTTACTCTAAATCTAGGTGAATGAAACTGTTACGTGATCTTACGGTCTAAACGTCATAAAAATTCGTAATCATACTGTTGCCTTGTATATTTTTATCTAGTATTAACATGTCTCTTACATATTCCAATTTTTAAGCTTCCGTAATCAATGTCAGTCAGTCTGTTTTCATAGAATATTATTTCAGTTTTACTAAGATCGTTTTCAAGAAAACATTAGACAACCTCGACAGCCTCATCTGATCTCAAAGTAGACAATTTCCTTGAGTATTACTAGATATTCCTTATTATGGGTTTACATTGTTTCCTGAAAAACAGAATACACCTTATTCATTGTTGTTGTTGCTGACTGGTAACTCGTCGCTCGATATTCTCTAACCGCTACATAGTACATAGTACACATACAATGGCTTAGTGCCTTATCACAAATTCACAAACTCACGACATTGGTAATAACAACAAAACCTAGAAATAAGAATCCAAACGTGTTTCACATTTGATAATCTGTTACCTAGGTAGTAAACCATGCAAGCGTCCATGATATCACCTTTAATAAAAACCAACAGCAGAATACAAATGCAAGTAGCTCATTCTTCGGTCTAGACACTGTTAGGTATACTCCAAAAAACCAAAATGGATATAAAGTAGCAAGAGTACTTACATGACGATAATATACGATAAAGTGTAGTTAGTGTTACAAGTTTGGTAACCAAAAGCTGACTAGTTTGTTGCTTATTAACATTTCCAAAGTTACACCAGTGAATTCTGATGTATGCGTACACCTAGAATGAATCCTGAGAGGAATATAAACCAGACTCAGCCAGAAAATCCACGTCTCGGAACTAGTTAAGGCTAGGATATTTTTCGGAACTGAACAACAGATGCAATGCTTCCATATTGAGTTATTGTAAATGAGTAATCTTTGAAACACGACCACAAACTCACAGATCCATATTAAACAACTATCCTTTTATATCTACTGTATAAATGAAATGAAGATCGTACCATGGCAACCTGCAATATGGTTATGATTTATTTACATACGCTAATTGAGGATATTGTGCAATCATTTCCAGATTAAACAATATGTAGAAGATGTGTACCCTATATTTGCAAGGCGAAGGTTAGTGGAATATATTTACAACATTAAATTGCACAAACACCCCCTTCACAAACATCACAGGGCACAAAGGCCACAAGTTATAGAGAAAACCTATTTAGCTGATTAGCAGTGTCGCTAATATGATGACCCCTGATTCGGTTTGGGCACCCGGGGAGTATCCAGCCATCACGCAACTCGAATGATTTGTGTGGCTCATATCTAATTGGTGTTTCCTTGTGCCAATATTTATGTGTTTAAATAAATATTAAATAAATAATATGATGACCAATTGGATAGTTATTTCAACAACTGAGTCTAAATCACCAAAGAGTGTGTTTTACATACACGATTGATAATTAACAGTATTGTTACAGTATATTGTCGATTTGACTATATCCCCTACGTAATTCTCACCGACTATTCATTCGCCAAGGAGAAATGAGTCTTATGAGGGAGTCATCGTGTAACGAAATCGGTAATACGTTAATTAACACCATCCACAAGAGAGTTTTGGGGTTGTTCAAACTATAAAATGTAGGTTTAAACTCATCTTATAACCGATATTCAATCCACTTATGTTTTACATTAGTTAAGTTGTTTATGGCTAGTGAATTTCCAATCACTACCAATAGTCTAAGCTTTTCACGCGTCTATCGTTTGAATTTTTTTCATTTTGGTTCTAGCATCAAATCAACATTCTTCTAGAATACACCCTAAGAACCTTGGAAAGAATACAATTAGTTCTGGGGTCATTTGTGTCGACTGCTGTATGGACGGTTAATTGGAAGCAGTATAAGAAGAAATATGATGAACGACTATCGTCTATCAGAAAGAGCTCACTTAGGCAATACAACTATGAATGTAACATTAGCAGCAATAATGGCTAATGTGGGACTTTGTCGAAAATCATCTTTTGTTTGGGATCCTTTCATCGGTACCGGAAGTACAGTAATAGCAGCTTCTGTATGGGGTTCATTCGGTGGTGGTTCAGATATAGATTATTCTGTACTTCATGGAATAGGAATGTCTCCAAAAGCTGGTCAGGTGAGTTGTTTTTATTTATTACATATGGTTTTTGTACTATACTTTTATTTGCATTTTTGGTCATTCGGTAGAAGTCAGACCGTGGAATTAGATATTTTTAGGGAAATCTAGTTCTGAATTTTAACACTAGTAAATATCATCAAAGTGAATCATTTATTTCTTACCGTTTACAACTCTTTAATATTAAGGAAATAGTAACATGAAGAAGTCCCCAATATTCATTACTGAGTTTATAGCATACATATGAAATTCAAATAACATGCAATGACTTTTTATGAGAAGTGAATCCTTTATTAAATGGATAAGAATACCATTCGAGTCATTATTATTGTTTGACTAAATGGTTTACAGTCTAACGTGTTCACTAGAGAGTTAGATAGTATTAGAGAATATCTGATAGCATCAATTAAGTACTACGTGATTATTGTGTTTATTCTGTCAGCGAATATTATATTCGTTAGATCTGTTCTTGTAAATGTGCTTTTGTCTTTTATTTATTTTCAAAAACTACTTTCCCTCCGAAAATTTGATTTTAATTACCAAGATTTCGATTAAACTTGTTTTGTGTATTGTTTTAGTCTTAAAGATTTATTCCCAGTTGACTTACTCGTAAGTTGCTAGTATTTGACCACAAATGCCTTAGAAATAGTGCTCGCATCTGCTGGGATCACTGGGTAAATAATAGTGAGGTTAGATGCAAGATATTAAGGAATGATGATAAATCAGTTGATGAGGTTGTGAATCTTCATCGACGAAGACTGGCAGGATCCTATTCCTGTACTCACTCTGGATGGTGAGCAGATAGTAGTCGAGAAGTTCGTGTATCTGGGTAGCTGCATAAGTGCTGGTGGTGGCCTGAGTGATAATATTAATGCACGTATAGTGAAAGCCAGAACGGCTTATGACAATCTGGGTCATCTTTAGCACCTTCGTGATGTTAATCTGGTTGTAAAAGGTCGGATCTACAACGCGTCGGTAAGAGCAGTTTTGCTCTATGCTTGTGAAACCCAACCTCTCCGAGTTGAGGATGTTAGACGACTCTCTGTCCTTGATCATCGTTGTCTCCAAAGGATTGCTGACATTCAATGGCAACACCATGTTAGTAATGCAGAGAGGTTCGGCATCGTGTGTTCGGGCACAGAGACGATAATGCAATTGGTGTCACCATCTTGAAACACCGACTTCGGTGGCTTGAACATGTTCTACGAATGTTGCCCCAGAGAGAGTTCCACGTCGTGCATTATTTGCGGACGCTGGGACTGGTTGGAAAAAGCGGAGAGGTGGTCAGTGTATGACATGGTGTTGTGGTATGAAAGAAAGCTGCAAAGGGCTGGCTTATGTTGGTCCTTCACGAATCCTTTGTTGGGGTCCGAGAGACGGTGCAACACAATGGCTAAAGACGTTGTCAGATATGGCTCAGAATAGAAGCCAGTGTTGATCCTGTTGTAACCTTCTTTTACGTTCTTCAGAAAAAAGTGGTTATATATTCCCTAACTGAAGGATTTCTTCTGGTTGTATCTTTCCGTTTCCCCTATTATTATTATTATCATTATTATTATTACACTACCTTGCACCAATCTGGTCTTTATTGTTCCTTTTTTTACGCTCCTTACCTTCTTTTTCTCTCTCTTCCCATTCTCATTGTGTTGTGTGGCGCATATATATTTGGTACCTCCTTATACCAATATTTATGTGTTCGAATAAATAAAGATGGTTGAGTCACGTGGTACGCATGCCCGAACACTGGTTACCATGACGCGCAATACTGTCTAGCGTTGGGAATGGTTGAAAGTTAGGCGCTGCCCCCAAATGCCCTGGTATGGCCGAGAGCGGGGTGGGTTCGCCCTCCCTCTCGAAATACTCTCACACGGCCGCGCGTATACAGCCTCTGCCAGGGAAGTCCTACTCATTGCCTTCTCGTGGCGGGGGTGTTGTCTACGAAAATGAGAGGACGAAAAGCGAATGTCCGGCGCTTTAACCGGATCACAAACCAATGGTGCACATGGGATCCAGTATCCTGCGGGAACAAATGGCGTATGAACCAATTTTCGGTCACCGGCTACCATGGGACTGCATCTCCTTACGATGCTCCACTGCCTTGTGGGTTAGACCTTTAGGTCAAAGGCTCGGGGTGTGGCCCCCTAAGATAACCACCTGCTTCGGTCTGGGCACCCGGGCAGTATCGCAGCCCACACACAATTAATGAACTGAAATTGTGTGGCGCATATATATTTGGCGCACTTCTGTACCAATATATATGTGTTCAAATGAAATTAAATAAATAAAGGCGCTGCTAAACCAAAACGTGGCATCAGTTCTTGAAGTCACTAACCTCTAGTCTGAGCCATGTTGGTAGATGCAGACTACTTGGCTGGTGTTCGCGTAACTATCGTAACCAATGGTTGGAGACTGAGTGACATGGCTCAGAATCGATCACAATGGCTTCGGTGTATACACTCTCTGTCTTCTCTTAAACTAAGAGATTAAAATCGATTCATATCTTTCTTTCTACGAACCAATTCTTTCTTCCTGTACTATATCCTTATATGTAATCTTTCTTTTGTATATTACCACCATTGAAGTAACTGATTCTATGAATTTGATGTTCATCTTGTTGTGCTAATGAGGTATGGCAACTTGGACGGTGCATATATGTGCCTGGTCCTACTTTGTAGCTGACTGACTGAATTATTGTCTGAAGTATCATAATTTTGCTCTATAAATAACTGAAAGGTATGTTTTAAACTTCTCATCTTTTTCTGGTTATTATCGTAGTATTTGTAACGAAACGAGAATGTAGCTGAACAAATCACAAAATCATTAGCTTATCACTCCAAATCATCCTTCATTTATTTTGATTTGACTGTAAAATGGGTCTGGTGTTTTTTTTATTTGTCTTCTACATTAACTATATGAAATAACGTCCTACTGCACAATATCTTTCTTATCCGTGGTTCTATTCGAATTTTATCGTTTAATATTCCTCACTCTTGTTTACATATTGTCCTTTTACCTCTCTTTTTTGAGTAATGTTATTTGTGATTCTATTCATATGGTGATGTACAGTTGCACTAAGCATTTATCACTCAAAGTATTCGTAAGATTACATCGTGCCATTATACACAACAAACAGTAAAATCTCGTCCATATTTGCCAAAGTTGCGAAAAGATATTTCATTGTGTATTCAACGAACATTACCTATGATATTAGAGAGAGAGCCTGTATTGATTTTTTTTAACCAACCCTCTTAAACCGCGACTTCCCACTGACTAGGTGACACCGCTAGTTTTTCTCATTGTCCACTGAAAACAGTACTTCTGATGCAACTTGTACAGTTCATACTACAAATTTATCTTCGAACTTCTGATTAGCTAAGTTTGTTTTCACTGCTACTCACATAAAATTCATTTCACTATATAATCATATAGAACTGGTGGGTCGCTAGTATCTGCAAAATCGACCACCATTTAGAGATAGGAACTACAGCTAAGGGGGGTTAACGTTTTCCATCTTGCATACTGATGAAAATGGGAGTCAACAGAAATTTTTTAGTTGGGAGTTTTGTGAAGGCTTTTATTCATGGGTGCTGACAGTAGAACCACTGAGAACCAAGATGCTCATTACAGTTGTTTCATTTTAGCATAGAACTTATCAATAGTCTTGTACCCACCAGTGTTAATGGGTCTTAATTGAATCTTCGAAGTTCTTGTAAGAATTTGTGGTTCGTAAAGGTTATTCATCTGAATGATGAGGTATTAAATCATTAACAGCATTGAGTGAATAAATTCCAACTAATTTATTCAAAGGTTACAAGCTGTCTTACAATCATTAAGGCCTTAGAGTTCGAATCATACTGAGGTCATGTGCACAGGTTGCTGAGGATTCCCATGTGTGGATAAAGTAGCTTTCCGATGCTCCCTAGTTTTCAGTGGTTCCGTAATTTTATTTTATTTATTTATTTGAACACATAAATATTGGTACAAGAGAGCGCCAATATATATGCGCCACACAAAACAATGAATTCGAAGAGAAGTAGAAAGAGAAAAAAAAAAAAAAAAACTAAGGAACGCAAAAGAAAAAGAGAACAATGACGAAGAGATTGGAGTAAGGTAGTGTGGTAGTAACGACGGAACGAAAAGGTACAATCAGAAGAAATCTTTCAGGTAAAGGAGACACAACCACTTTTTATGAAGAAAGTAAAAGAAGGTTACAGCAGGATCGCCACTGGCTTCTATTCTGAGCCATATCTGATAACGTCTCTAGCCACTGTGTAGCACCATCTCTCGGACCCCAACCAGGGAGTCGTGAAGGACCAACACAAGCCAGTCCTTTGCAGCTTTCTTTCATGCCACGACACCATGTCATGCACTGACCACCTCTCCGCTTCTTCCAACCAGTCCCAGAGTCGGCAAATAATGCACGACGTGGAATTCTCTGGGACGACATTCGGAGAACATGTCCAAGCCACCGAAGTCGGTGTTTCAAGATGGTGACACCAATTGAGTTATCATCTCTGTGCCCGAACACACGATGCCGAACCTCTGCATTACTGACATGGTGTTGCCACTGAATGTCAGCAATCCTTCGGAGACAGCGATGATCGAACACAGAGAGTCGTCTAACGTCCTCAACTCGGAGAGGCCAGGTTTCACAAGCATAGAGCAAAACTGCTCTCACCGACGCGTTGTAGATCCGACCTTTTACAGCCAGACTAACATCACGAAGGCGCCAAAGGTGGCCCAGATTGGCATAAGCCGCTCTGGCTTTCACTATTCGTGCATTGATCTCATCACTCACACCCCCACCAGCACTTATGCAGCTACCCAGATACACGAACTTCTCAACTACGTCTATCTGCTCACCGTCCAGGGTGAGTACAGGATTAGAATCCTGCCAGTCTTGTAGAAGTACTTTGCACTTCGAAGGTGCAAAGCACATACCATACCTACGGACACTGATTGCCAACTGATTAAGTGCGGATTGCATGCCTTGGGCATTATCGCACAGTAAGACAATATCGTCCGCATACTCAAGGTCGAGAAGTCTTTCTCCAGGCAACAGATCCACACCACCATTACTTACATTCATCAGAGCTGTTTCCAGAATGTCATCGATGGCAAAGTTGAAGAGGAATGGTGAGATTGGGCAACCCTGCCTAACCCCACTGCTCGAATGGAACAATGGAGAGAGGTGGTTGTATGCCCTCACTCTGCCTGAGGTGTTTTTATATAGGGCTTTTAGGATGTTAATAAACTTCTCAGGCACACCCTTCTTCAATAGACAATCCCAGAGAACAGTCCTGTCCAACGAATCGAAGGCAGCCCTGATGTCAAGAAACACTACGATTGTTGGCCTTTGAAAGTATGGCGGTGTTCTAACATTTGGCGGAGGGTGAAGATATGATCAATACATCCTCGACCAGAACGAAACCCAGCCTGCTCCTCGCGAGTCAATCTTTCTCGGGTTTTGAACAACCTACGAAGAATGACGGAAGCCAATAGCTTGGACGCAATCGGAAGTAAACTTATCCCCCGATAGTTGTTACAGAACGACGTGAACCCTTTTTAAAGATAGGGACAACTATCGACTCATTCCATGACGTTGGTACACTCTCTAGTTCCCAAACCTTTGTAAACAACGTCGTCAATTCCTTAGTCAAAAAGTCACCACCATCTTTAAAAAGAGCCGGAGGTAAGTCATCTGGGCCAGGTGATTTGTAACGCTTCAAGAGTTGGAGTTCCTTGCGGACTTCCTCCTCATTTGGTGGATCAGTCGTCACCGGCCATGGAGGGCAGGACAGTCTGACCGATGTTGCCGGAGCAGCAGGCCAGTTGAACTGCCCTTCGAAAAATTCTGCCCATCGTCCAAGACGTCGATGGATGTTAGTGATTGGCATCCCATCATCCTCGCAGATTGTTTCACTCACACCAGACTTCTTGCTGCCAGTGGCTCGGATGAGCTGGAAGAGCTTCCGGTAGTTACCAGATGCAGCTGCTGCTTCCAGCTCATTAGCACGCATCGACCACCAGGCTTCTCGGTCCTTACGCAAGCTTTGCCCAATTCCTTACGTAACATCCTTCGTTTATGGTCAAACTCACGGTCACCCGGAGTAGACCGACGGGCTTCAATGAGTTGTAAGGAACCAGAAGAAACCCAGTGCTTAAAGCGGGACGTTTCGCAAACCCACAACTGACTGTTCCCGCCATTTTCATGGCGTCATGCAATTGCAACCAATGCTCATCTATACTTTTCGGTGGAGTGGTAGCTAGCCTAGAGGCTAGCTCGGTTCGATACTTACTTGCAACAGAAGTTGCAACCAGCTTGCTAACATCAATCCGTTGATGGCGTTCACTTCGTTGTCCACTGAAAAGTAAGGCAAGATTGGCGCAGACCAAGGCATGGTCAGAGTCCAGATAGGTACTCCAAAAGGAGCGGCAGTCTTGTACACAACCACGCCAGCGGTAGCTGATCGCGATGTGATCAATCTGAGTCCAGGCTTGAGATGCAGAGGGAGGACGCCAGGTGGCACATCGGCGATGACTGTGCCGAAAGTTAGTGCTAGCCAGAAACAGGTTGTGGTCTGTGCAAAGTTGCAGTAGACGGTCCCCGTTATCTGACCTGCGACCAACGAGTCCCCATCGGCCACCTAAACGACTCTCTTCTGTGCCTAGACGCCCGACCTGAGCATTCAAGTCTCCGGCTAGTACTACAATATCTGTCGAACGCACTTTCTGGAGAAGAACTGATAACTGGTGGTAAAACTCATCCTTGATTGCATCCGGGCTGCAATCTGTCGGGGCATAGGCGGAGATGACGAAAAGACATCGTTTCTCACGCCGATTTCTTCTCACTTTGATGGAACTTTCTAATCTAACAGCACATAACCGACTGTTAATGGGGATCCAATCGACTAGTGCTGCCTCAGCTCTAGCGCTTAGTGCGACACCAACGCCAGCAAGACCAGACGAAGATGCCACAGGGTCCCCGGATAAGCGCACGTAAAACAAGCTTTTCGAAGCGACAGATGGAGATCGAATTTGTAGTACTTCGCCAGAGTCTTGAATACGGGTCTCGGATAGACAACACACGTCGATATTAAGACTTTCCAAAGACATAGCCAGCCCTATCTGTTGTCCGACCTGCATAAATGTGCGAACGTTGAAGGCAGCCAGTTTGAATGGTGCACGTGGTTTCAGAAAATCTGCTTCAGTCCTCGTATTCGGTGGTAACATACAATTTTCAACCGGACAGTGACTCGAGAACGTTTAGATACAGTCGGATTTCCACCAAAGACGAGCCGCTGTATAAGTATAAAAGAGGGTGAATAATGTGGAAAATAATAATAATAATGATAATAATAACAATAATGACAATAATAGTAGTAATAATAATATTAGTATTAATAATGACAATAATTGTAATGATAATAATCTGAATCAATTGTTTGTTTTTCAAAGCGACAAAAGTAATTTCCATAGACATAAAGAGTTCATCAATTTGTGTGTGGGCTGTGATACTGCCCGGGTGCCCAAACCGAAGCAGGTGGTTATCTTAGGGGGCCACTCCCCGAGCCTTTGACCTAAAGGTCTAACCCACAAGGCAGTGGAGCATCGTAAGGAGATGCAGTCCCATGGTAGCCGGTGACCAACGATTGGTTCATACGCCATTCGTTCCCGCAGGATACTGGAGCCCATGTGCACCATTGATTTGGAATCCGGTTAAAGCGCCGGACATTCGCTTTTCGTCCTCTCATTTTCGTAGACAACACCCCCGCCACGAGAAGGCAATGAGTAGGACTTCCCTGGCAGAGGCTGTATACGCGTGGCCGTGTGAGAGTATTTCGAGAGGGAGAGCGGACTCTCCCCACTCTCGGCCGTACCAGGGCATTCAGGGGGGCGGTAACTAATACCAATTTTTGGAAAAAAACTGTCGCTTAGCTCATTTAATGAAACATTTGTGATACATTAATAAACCTATCACTCAATATCTCGTATATGTACCACCTGTTTCTTTTAAGCCAGTAATTACGTCTAAATCATTTTCTTTATATGTTCATATGGATATCGAGAATTTCCTATATCTAATAACATACTTATTTTTCGTAATAGGAAAGACGTTGTGGTGAAACATTACGATCGAATTATGAACAGTACAAATTGGAATCACGTTATTTAGATGTCATGGTGGCTGATATAGTATCATTACACAAATTTTTACGTATTCCTCATGGTGGTTTATTCGACGCAATAATAACTGATCCACCCTATGGATTTCGTGAACGTAGTTGTAAAGTATCTGAACAACCAGTTGAACGTAAACCTACTCTTGTCACTAGACATCGACTAGCTGAAATTATGGGCGTAATGCATATTGGGTACGTTTAGAATTAATAATTATTAGTAATCTATCTGGTGGCTAGTAAATTTTATGTTATAACACTTTCATTTAATGAATATCAATCCCTAACGGAAAACTTTAAACGTGATAATCACATTGTTATTCGTTTACTTAGTATACGTTTATGTAATCAGCTTCAAGCCATAATTGTTTGTAAGGACTGGTGATATATAATACTCGATGGTTGAAACTGTAGTGAAATGTCATTAAATGATTCATCATTCTTGATTAAATCATCTGTAGTATTATTATTATTAATGTAATCCATGATAAACGTTGCTTCTATGACCAGTCAGTCTATGTTCAACAAAATCTCTAACTAATGCTGTATTGTTTATTGAAATAATCAACTTCAAAACACATGCTACTGTACCAAGAAATCATATAGTCCACTTTATTTTTTGAATTGTCACTTTACATTCAATGTGCAATCATAAAAGTCAACAAGTCATATTTCCATGTCACTTGTAACTGTGTTTTACAATTAACATTTCAAATCTGTCTTATAACTTATATCTATTGCATTAAGTGGAAACATTGGTTATCGTGGAAAATTCAAGCTCGTATTATCGATTTGAAATAGATATTTTAGTGGCCTTATATCTAACTTCAGTTAAATCTTATTTTGATTGTTATCGAAATATACATCCCGACTACCCTCGTATATGCCCTCAAATGCCCTGGCACGGCCGAGTGTCGGGAGAGTTAGCCCTCCCTCTCGAGATACTCTCACATGGCCACGCGTATATAGCCACTCCCAGAGAAGTCCTACTCACTGCTTTTTCACAGTGTGGGTATTGTTTACGAAATTGAGGGGATGGAAAGTGAATGTCTGGCACTGACTTTAACCGGGTTGGTGGACATGTAGAGTTCACCTAGGGGGGGTTGGAAAACCTCGATTCTAAACCAACGGTGCACATGGGCTCAGTATCCTCAGGGAACAAATGGCGTATGAACCAACCATTGGTCACCGGCTACCATGAGACTGCATCTCCTTACGTTGCTCTACTGCCTTGTGGATTAGACCTATAGGTCAAGGGCTCTGAAAGTGGCTCCCTAAGGAAACAACCTGCTTCGGTCTGGGCACCCGAGTAGTATCCTAGCCCTCACATAAATCGAATGATTTATGTAGTGCATATCTATTTGGTGCCTACTTGTACCAATGCTTATGTGTTTAAGTAAATAAATAAAATAATCCTTGTATATAATTATCGACTTAATTTGTGTTAGAGAATAACGGAATAAAATAAGTCAAGTACGAGAATGAATTCTCAATACGTATATTTCATACACTCATTGATCCAGACAAGCAATCAGAGGAACAAAGTGGAGAAATCAAAGAGAAGCAAGACGGAGTGACGTGCAGCAGAAAAACCGAGTGAGCCAAGTCGTTTTGTTCAAGCGTGACTTATTAGTTGCATTAAGAAGAAAATCAATTCCAGACACATAATGAATAGGTCAGACAATTAACATACATAACAGTTAAGGTTAATAAGCGAGTAATCGACAATGTCAAAAAGGCCTTGAGAAGTATGAATAAACTGGTCTGTCCAAAAGCTGGAATAACCTATGTATTGCGTTGACATAGTAGCAGCCTATACATATACTAACTTACTTACGACTGTTATTCCTAATGGAGCATAGGCCGCAGACCAGCATTCTCCAACCCACTCTGTCCTGGGCCTTCTTTTCTAGTTCCATCCAATTCTTGTTCATTTTTCTCATGTCTATCTCCATTTCTCGGCGTAATGTGTTTTTTGTTCTTCCTCTTTTCCTTTGGCCTTGAGGATTCCATGTGAGGATTTGTCTAATGACGCAGTTGAGTGCTTTCCTCAATGTATGTCCTATCCACTTCCAGCGCTTCTTCCTAATTTCTTCCTCCACTGGGATCTGGTTTGTTCTATCCCACAGCAGGTTGTTGCTAATAGTGTCCGGCCAACGGATCCGAAGTATTTTGTGTAGACAACTGTTAATAAACACCTGTATCTTCTGGATGATGGCTTTCGTAGTTCTCCAGGTTTCCGCCCCATACTCCGCCTGGAGTCCCTCCGGAGGCTACTGCCGGTCCCATTCCCGGATAAAGGAGAAGGTCTAGGCATGGGGTTAGCGTCCCTATCCCGTAGAAAACTAACTCGCTAAAAAACGCTAACACATACTAACTATTGTAAGATTATTCGTAAACATGTCGATTCGTTGGCTAAGATTCATTGCACAATTGTGTTTTCTAATGTCAGACTTTTTTAATATCAATGATGAAAGTATACTCACTTTTACTCTTGATTGTCTAATGAACGAACACTTAGGTGAGGAAAACCAAATTATTATTCAATTCAAAAATTACAGTGTCTTTGTAATTTATAAAAAAAACCACACATGAAATACCTTCGTTTGCACATCTTTGATCAATTTACATTTACATTTTTCATGATTCTTGTAATTCTGTTTTTGTTCTAATTCCTTTCTGTTTCTCATTCAATTTTATATTGACAGACATTCCACGTCTGATTAGTGTTACATACTACTTATATCTGTTAACATAAGTAGCATACACCACAATAGTAGTAGTATTATTCAAACTTGTTAAATTTCTTTATCTTGACACTTATAAGGTTAATATATTTAGTACACATTTACACTCAAACTTCTCGTTTTTCTTTATCTCTGTCTTTTCTTGTTAAACCCTATATATTAGTCCATGGTATTGTTTTATGCTTGTACAGTGATGAAAATCACAATGGGAATAAGGATGAAGTTGATGAGGAATCTTTAATTCTGGTACCACATGACTTACCACACTTCCCACACAAAGTAAGTGAACCGTTTTTACATGTATATTTTATCATTTACTAAATGAATAAACTCAAATGTCATCTGTATTTAAGTCTCACTGTCAGTGCAGTTAAATCGGTTGTTCGTCTTATGTTCAAAATTAATTAGCATTAGAATGTTAATGTTTACCGAGGTACAACTCTAACTGAATAAAATCTAGAGTTAAATAATTGGCGAGACTATAATTTATGAACGAACCAATCAAGTATAAGATAACAGGTCTGGGATTTTGGTGCGAAATTCACTCATCCATTTGACTAAATAGAGTTTTAGCATTATAGCTAATGTCAGTCTAGCGTCCATCAAAAGTCGTCCATAAACTATAGTCTCACCAAATAATTTATCCATCAACTTAGGTAGAGATGATGTGCTTAGTAGAAGTTTTCTTTAGGAAAGATATAAATGAGACCACACAATATTGTAAGTAGTATATTGTAGGTTACTAATTACGTCACAAAGGAGCAAATGTTTCTGATAAAACATTGAATCAACTTATGGGAGTTAATGATAACCACATTGAACTTATCGTCAACCTCTCGTAAACCAAACCATTTATCGGTTTAGAACAACATACATATATAACGCGAATAATATGGTTTCCAATTAGTTCCTCATCAGGAAAAACAAATCAATATTGGAATTCCTGATGTTAGTCTTAAAGTATTACTTTTGAAATGCACAATGAATGTCCATTTTGTCTTTAATAACACATTATAGACAAATTGATGGTATAGCGTTGGGTTCACCTCTAGGTCCTGTCCTTGCGGAATTTTTTCTTGTCAAACTAGAAAACGGTCCTCATATTCCCACGTTACAATTCATTTGACTGTATTTAAAACATATTGAACAGAGAATCCAGTAAAATTGACTAGATAGTGAGGATAAACGCCATTTAATTCGAAGTCATCAGAATTTTATTGGGAGCCTCATTTGTAGATAATGGATTGCTAAAGTAATCAGCATATATCAAAATCGTATTAGGTTTCTGATCATCATTTGATGCATCTGACTTATTTTCTGGTAAAAGAGAATCTCGATAATAAGATTCGTCAGAAACTTCTGTCGCTGAATGACGAGAACCATTTGGAGCAGCTGCATTCAGTGTATTGCTCGATTTGTTTTCTGTTTCATGAGCCGTTACTGCGACAATTCTATAAACATTTAACAGGGCATCTGTTTGTGAGCTGGATAAGTCACTGTCTGCACATGCTGTTTCGGGGATAATGGAGTTTGAATCCATTATCGGAGATGTTTCTGAAATAGAGAGTACTGGACCACTGGGCGGATCTTCAATGACTGCTGTATCGTTTAAAATACGGTTTGTCGAGGATTCATGGAGGCTACAATCATTTTCCAGCTCAGTGTGCAATTGAGAAACTAATTCATCCACTTCCGTCGCATCTTCAAAGCATGAGTGATTCAGCAGCTGCGTGCGTAATTTGACTAAGAACTCCAACTGTCGCTCAAATAGCAGCTGTAATCGATCGGAAGGGAGAGTCTTTTTTTTAATCAGCACCGGTAATGAAAGATACTGTACGACTAATGACAAATGTCGTTGAAGGACATTGATGACAAATCTGGATGCTGATTGCTCGAAATAATTAGACTGAATTTCGTCCAATTACAGACTAACTTTGGTCGTTTTTTTACCCCGCCGCCAATTGTTATATCTTGTAACCGCCAATTAAAGGGCAGTGACTTATCGATCGGACCAAGGACGCGTAAAATACGTGCGAGCGGCCTAGAGTTCTGCTTTCCGCCTAGCCCAGCCAGTTAAGTCCAGAACGTCAATCTCAGCCTCTGCAATATGAATCATGATACTTCAAACATACTGAGTTTATATACCAATCAAACAGACCACAACGTACCAATAAAATATGAAAAAACATGTGTACAAGAATTATCCAGATGTGGCTGTGAATGAGGGAGGCAGTGACTAATAGACAGGGTATAATTCAAGAATGGAAAATCGTATAATGACAGCTCATAGGTTGAAATAAAGCTTATGATAAGAGAGACATAAATATGAATAGTTTAGTTAATTGACAATTATACAACAAAAATATACGCACAGTATTGGTTCATAATAGATCTCAAAAGTTACCATTCATTATTCTTGTCGGGACATAACACAAGGCTTTGTTATTCTGATCACAACTAGTACACATATCTATTACACTGTTATCATTGCCAGACCAAAACATGGCACAAGTCCATGAAGTCACTGACAAGTGGACTGAGTCATGTTGGTAGGTGTAGACTACCTAGTTGGGGACCGCGAGATGATAGCAACCGATGGTTAGAGACCCTGAATGACATGGCTCAAAATCGTTTGCAATGGCGCAGATGCATCCACTCTTTGTGTTCTCCCAAATTCTAATCTTCTGAATTCTTCATGTCCCTTTTTTCCTCTTTCCAAATTTATTTCACTGTATTATACTCCTTGAATAACATCTTTAAACCCTAATCTTTCCAATTACTGCTTATACTCTTACCTACCTCTACCACTGCGAGATTTGAATCGACAAATGCATCTCTGTGCTAATGTGGTGTGGCAACTCGAACTGATGTACGTACGTACGAAGTTCTACGTTGTGACTGACTGACTGTCATTGACTCATAAACTGCCTTGACTGGTTTAATTAATTTCATATATGTATATAAATATTATTGTATATTAAATGAATGCCTGATGAGGATCTAATCAAAATCAATATTGTTCGCTTATATATATCGTTTATCAGTTGACTATGTATATATTAGATAAGCAGAAATATCATTCTTACTGAAAACATATAATCAATTCATTGTTGAATGTACCAAGGAGTCTAGTTACACGATTGAGATACTCGCGAAATTGAATTTTCATAAGACAGCGATTTGTCAATAATACTACTGTTTATTGAGTAATATATTTATAAATTAGTTACAAATCTCAACTTGTGAGGTATCTGTGACAGCTGATAACAGTTTATCAACATGCATAAACGGGATCACGAGCAAGAAAACGCAGAACCCGTTGTTTGAACAACGATTATACAAAGGCTGAGAATGAGTGCTATATGGATTGAAAGAAAGTAATTATGATGATAAAGACAATGTTATAAGTATACGTCAATGCGATAAGCTTGCGAAACAACATACTCATTGAAATTGCTAAGAAATACTACTGTTTACTGAATATAAGTCAGTAGTATAAAACAATAAACAAAAGTTTCAGAGAAGAGAATAAGGACAGAGAGCGTAAACAAACTTAACAGACAGTTTCATTCAGTTACTTATTCGATGGTATCTTGATTATGCATCAGGCAAAAAAAATCAATATTACAAAGTGATCGATTAGTCTGTAATTTCGTATCTACTGCATAAAAAGGGTACAAGAAAATAAATAAAGTTTAAAAGTTGTGCTACAGTTTTTTCTCTTTTGTTGCTTATTTATTTGGACACTCACAAAAGGATACCGAGAACATATGCGCTACACAAGTCATTCGATTTATGTGTGGGCTGTGATACTGCTCGCGTGCCCAGACCGATCAGGCGGTTTTCTTAGAGGGTCTCAACCAGAGCCTTCGACCTAAAGGTCTGACCCACAAGGCAGTGGAGCAACATCAGGAGATGCCTTCCATGGTAGCCGGTGACCAACAATAAATTCATACGCCATTTGTTCCCTCAGGATCCTGGAGCCCATGTGCATCACTGGTTTGTAATTAGGGCTCTCCAACTGCCCTAAATGGACCCTCCATACCCACCAACCTGGTTAAATCGCTGGACATTTGCTTTTTGTCCTCTAAATTTCATAAACAACATCAACACTGTGAATAGAACGTCTCTGGTATGTATATATGCCTAATACATTTGGGTAGTTTTGTTGCTCGTATTTTTTCTATTTATTCAGGAAGTATATCCAGTTAATAAAATATACAAAGATTTATTGGATTTAGCAGCTTATCTTTTATATCCCAATGGACGTTTAGTATTTTGGATACCAGTATTACGTTCAGAATTTATTGGTGTAAAATCTTTACCTCATCATCCTAGTTTTCGTTTACTTGCAGCTTGTGAACAGGTTAGTAAATTATTTGTTGTGAAAAAATTCTCTCTTCTTATTAATTTAATGCTTATAAGGGATACATATTTTGATGGAGTTTTGTTCTCTGAGCTGGATGGTTTGGTCGTGGAGCTTTCATCGTTCTTCTGAACGACATCATCAGCACAAACTTCAGATAGAAGTGAAGTGTTCGAATTTCTCCATATGCGTTTCACAGCTTGTTCTGTACACCTCGACGTTGATTGGTTCTTATTGACCTTAAATTTGTCATTGACAAATTTAACCCGCGTGTTCGGGCACAGAGATGATAATTCAATTGGTGTCACCATCTTGAAACACCGACTTCGGTGGCTTGGACATGTTCTACGAATGTCGTCTCAGAGAATTCCACGTCGTGCATTATTTGCCGACTCTGGGACTGGTTGGAAGAAGCGGAGAGGTGGTCAGTGCATGACATGGTGTCGTGGTATGAAAGAAAGCTGCAAAGGACTGGCTTCTGTTGGTCCTTCACGACTCCCTGGTTGGGGTCTGAGAGATGATGCTACACAGTGGCTAGAGACGTTATCAGGTATGGCTCAGAATAGAATCCAGTGGCGATCCTGCTGTAACCTTCTTTTACTTTCTTCATAAAAAGTGGTTTGTGTCTCCTTTACCTGAAAGATTTCTTCTGATTGTACCTTTTCGTTCCGTCGTTACTACCACACTACCTTACTCCAATCTCTTCGTCATTGTTCTCTTTTTCTTTTGCTCTCCTTAGTTTTTTCTTCTACTCCTCTTCGAATTCTCATTGTTTTGTGTGGCGCATATATATTGGCGCTCTCTTGTACCAATATTCATGTGTTCAAATAAATATAAATAACCCGCGAATTCAAACTTTCCGAGACGTCAATCTATTCTACAGTAGTAATGTAATTTCCATAGTAGTTAACAACTGCTAGCAAGTTGTGTTCATATTCTTCACCGACTTAACACAACTAAGTTTGTTTTGTTATATCTCAACGAATCGAGAGTTGTATTTCTAAAGTTTCGTGACTTACTATGAGCCACTTCTTCAGAGTAAATAAATAGCCGAAGTTCAATTAACAAAACTTTAAATATACAAAGGAAATCTACTAACAGATCTAAGCTTCCCACTTCATTTGTCGTACTATTCGATCGTTTGTACTATGACCTATCGTCCCTCGAATTGGATTCATATGTATTAAAATGTTTGCAAACAGGAAACAACATTGCCTTCATCTTCTTGCTGCTAACCAAGTTTTGTACATCTGAAGTGTGTATTGCAGACAGAGTACATTCACACAAATGAAGATATTCTTTGCTTTATTTAATGACATCTATTCATATTTTTGACATACTTTGATTGTAATTCATAAAACGCTCGTAAATTTTTACTTGTATTATATATCCTCGGTTGTTATACCTTTAGATAGATTTAACAGATAATAAGTTTGTTAGATAGAAGCTCCTTCCAATTTGCTAGACGCTTCTAATAAGCTTAAGCTATATCTACATGGAGGATTGAAAACAAGAGAAAAAAGAACGTTTTACCTAAAGATTTGTTTCCGTACATAAAAGCGGGGCTATTCATAGCTGTACACAACCTTGAGCTTTTAGGACTTTGTGGAACCATACTAAGTAAAGTAACTGTATAGATAAATATCCAGTCAAAAATGTGACACTTGGCTCTTAGCCTTCTAAATGTTTCTGAGAAGCTTCTACTCAATGCTGATGGGATAAAGTGTCTCTAAACCTTTTATGAGCTCTTATGAACTTTTCCGAGGGATATTTTGGAATCCCCCAACTCTAAATATATTAAAGTTGATTTCTGAACTTAATATTACTCACTCAGTAGTTTAAGCATAACTGTGTAGTGGCTCCTAGTATTCTTACTTTTTCACATTGTTCTTATTCCTTAAATATCATACAGACTTTAAATACACGTAACTCAAGGTACATGGTAGTAATGGTGAAGTTGGATACTAATCAACAATTAAATGATCTATCTAATGAAAATGAAGATTTAATATTTCCAGCTGTTTATGCCAAATAATGATATTTTTCTAATGAACACCAACCAGTTATATTTCTGCTCCTCATATTTCTCCAGTTGTAAATGACTATTGATTTTTGTACATTTTGAATAGAATTAACATTTCCATGACAATGAGGTTGTTGTCAATATTCATTTATTCTTGATTGAGATTATGAACTGATTAATGTTAGACCACCATTGAAAACCTGGAAGCACTGAAAGGCCGCTTCGTCCTATTGTGAGACTCCTCAGCAGTGCACATCCACGATCCTGCTCGTGGGATCCGAACCCAGGGCCTTCAGTCTCGCGCGCGAACGCTTAACCTACTGGACCACTGAGCCGGCATTCAATGGTGTTAATGTCTAACCTCAACCAATCCACGATACTGCGCAACCATCTTCCATGGTACTTAGGTAGACACCTGTTTCTACCTGACAGGGATTAGCTCCACTAGTCAGCATATTCGGATATGAACATAATCGTTCTAAGTGTTGAGTATTTACGGAAAGTTTCACTTTGGTTATGTTGTGATTGTACGATTTTGTATATTTGAAGCATATAAAATTCAAGGTTCCAAATAAATAAGCCACACAAATGATGTGATGGTATTGTGAAGAGAATTGATGAAAACGTCTTGAAATCTGTAATGAGTTAAACAAGAATATTACTTATTAAAAGATTCAGTTAAGTTACCAGTAAAATCATGGTAGATTTTTCTCCGTCTGTGGGAATTCAAGTGGGGAATAATATCGATATTAACAAGTGCCATGCCTTAACACCATGAACTAACCAAGAATATTTTACATAGGGACTGTATATTCATAGAAAATACACATGCAGTGGATAGTTGGCATATTTACATAACTTTGGAACATGAACGATAGCCATTTTTTGTAAACGAATCATTAGTAGAATAATCACATTTTTGTTCTCTAGCCCCTTTATAGATTTTTGACGTATGGATTAACGGAATTGATGAAACTTACGGAAATTTACCATGTATCCATTCAATAGGAATTTCGAATAATTATATCTTTTCAAGGAAAATCTTTTGGCTGCCCTAATAATTCCAGACATAAATAGTATCTTACATTTTGGATGTCTACGAATAGTTCAGTCGGCGACTTAACATATTCACGTAGCTTTTGCAACATTTAAGGAATGTGCTCGAGGCAAATGCTAACATTTCCGTTTTCTGTTGGCCAACTGTCATCTGATTTTGCAACCTCAAGTGGTGTCCGTCAAGGTTGTCCACTTTCTCCACTTTTGTTCAACTTCATCATAGACCTACTGCTGGAAATAACGTTATCGCTATCTGAATGTTAAGTAATTGCTCTTCTACCGGGAGGTCAGGTTATCGACTTAGAATACGCATGTGACATAGACTTGTTTGGTGACGATACTATTAAAATGCAGTCTTTTGGTAGCACTGAGCAACAATGCTAGGATTTTTGGGATAGGTTTCTCCTCCTCTAAATGCAAGTTGTTGCTTCAGGACTGGCCTGCGTCAACAACTGAACTAAGGATAGGGAGTGAAGTAGTCGGACGTGTTGACAACTTCACTTATCTTGGGAGTCTGATCGGCCCTAATGGGTTGGTATCGGACGAAATCTCGGCACAGATTCGAAAAGCCCGTTTGACTTTTGCCAACTCACGTCACCTATGGCGAAGGCGAGATATCCGTCTATCAATAAAAAGACGAGTATACTGCGCGGCAGTTCGTTCTGTTTTAATTTACGGCAGCGAAACATGGCCTTTAGGAGTAGAGGATACTCGTAAGCTATTAGTGTTTGACCACAAATGCCTTAGAAATATTGCTGGCGTCTGCTGGTATCACCGGGTAAGTAATAGTGAGATTAGACCCAGGGTATTCGGGAATGATGGTAAATCAGTTGATGAGGTTGTGAATCTTCATCGACTGAGATGGTTGGGTCACGTGTTACGTATGCCTGAACACCGGTTACCACGTCGTGCAATGCTTACCGGTGTTGGAGTTGGTTGGATGAAAGTAAGGGGTGGCCAAACCAAAACATGGCATCAGTACACAAAGTTAAAAAATTCTCTTCCTTACAAGAAAGCCGCCAAATGCCTTGGTACGGTCGAGGGTGGGAAGAGTCAGCTCGCCCTCGAAACGCTCTCACATGGACACGCGTATATAGCCATTTGCAGGGAAGTCCTATTCACTGCCTTCTCACGGCATTACTCTTGTCTACGAATTGAGAGGACGAAAACCGAGTGCTTGACTCTAGCTGGATTGATAGACACGGAGAGTCCACCCAGAGGATTTGGAAATCCTTGATTCCAAACCAATGGTGCACATGGGCTCCAAGATCCTGAGGGAACAAATGGCGTTTGAATTAATTGTTGGACACCAGCCACCATAGGACTGTATGTCCTGACGTTGTTTTACTGCCTTGTGTATCAGACCTTAAGATTGAAGGCTCCGGGTGTGACCCTCCGAAAAATCTACCTGCTTCAGTCTGAGCACTCGAGCAGTACCACAAGTCACACATAAATCAAGTGAGTTGTGTGGCGCATAACTATTCGGTGCCTCTTCATACCAATATTTATATTTTCAAATAAATAAATATACTTTACTAGAAAACAAATATGCCAACAATTTAATTAAGATCATATTTACATGAACACTAAATGATAGTAATAATGAGAAGATTCATCAGTTCTGTACAGATTACCAAGAAAGTAGTATATAAATATAAAGAGTTTGTCAAAATATTATCCATTTAGTATCGATATTATTATTATATGTAAAATATTATTTCAATAAAGAAATAAGTTTCTCTTCATATTCCAATGGGATATCAATAGAAGTTATTGGTTCCATCGCTTCTTGATATTCAACTAACAACTTGTGTTTTCGTGTCTATAAAAAGTGGGAACACTAGCATCAAATAGTGATTAAACTTGAGGATTTAGACTAGGAAGTTACTGATCTACAAATCTATCCATCATTCTAATACAAATTGGATTACAAGTTGTTGTCTACATGACGTTGTACCTTCGCCAACTATATCTTCTATGCCTAAACTTTTCTGTTAACGTTTGGAACTAACTCCGCCTGTAGCTCTTCTAGAGTTACTGACGGTCCCAAGCCCGGGTAAAGGGGGAGGGTTGGGCATGGCGTTAGCGTCCCCATCTCGTAGAAAACTAACTCGCTAAAAAAACGCTTACCAGAAAAAATAATTCAAACCATTTAAACTCTGCCCTGGGAGTTAGAAGGTCTTCAGTTAGAAGAATTATGACGCTTCATGGTGAAAGCCGAGTTCCTTCGGAAGCCACGAGGCCGATGCCCCTTCTAACAACCAGAGCAAAAATTTTTATAGGTACATGGAACGTTCGAACAATGTGGGAAACCGGGAAGACCAGTCAAATAGCAATGGAAATGAGGAGATACAACTTAGCAGTACTGGGAATCAGCGAAACCCACTGGACCCAAGCTGGACAGAAAAGGCTAGCTACGGGAGAGATGCTGCTATACTCCGGTCACGAAGAGGAAAATGCTCCACACACTCAGGGAGTCGCTCTTATGCTGTCCAAAGTAGCACGAAATGCACTTGTAGGATGGGAGTCTCACGGATCCAGAATCATCAAAGCATCATTCAAAACAAAGAAGGAGGGGATCTTAATGAATATTATCCAATGTTATGCACCCACCAATGATAGCAACGACGACATTAAAGATCAGTTCTACGAGCGGCTGCAGTCAATCATTGAGAAATGCCCAAGAAAGGACCTAACTATTCTGATGGGAGATCTAAATGCCAAAGTCGGAATAGACAACACCGGATATGAAGATATCATGGGACGACATGGACTGGGTGAGAGAAACGAAAATGGAGAAAGATTTGCAAATCTGTGTGCATTCAACAAATTGGTCATAGGAGGCACAATATTTCCACACAAACGTATACACAAGGCTACATGGATCTCACCGGACCACACTACAGAGAACCAAAAAGATCATATTTGCATCAACAAAAAATTCCGAAGGACAATGGAAGATGTGAGAACCAGGAGAGGTGCTGACGTAGCTTCAGATCACCACCTAGTTGTAGCCAATTTAAAACTGAAGCTAAAGAAGAACTGGACAAACAGCACTACAAAGGTTCAATACAGCCTTCCTTCGAGATACTGACAAACTCAATGAATTCAAGATAGCTCTCAACAACAGGTTCCAAGCCTTACAAGATCTACTGAAGGAAGAAGAAACTACTATGGAGGACAACTGGAAAGGCATCAAGGAAGCATTAACTTCAACGTGTCAAGAGGTTCTGGGCCTAAAGAAACACCATCATAAGGAATGGATCTCTATAGAAACACTGGACAAGATCAAAGAAAGGAAGAACAAGAAGGCAGCAATTAACAACAGCCGAACACGAGCAGAGAAAGTCCAAGCACAAGCTGAATACATAGAAGCAAACAAACAAGTGAAGAAGAGCATTAGAGCCGACAAGAAGAAATACGTGGAAGAACTAGCAACGACGGCAGAAAAAGCTGCTAGAGAAGGAAATATGAAACAGCTTTACGATACAACGAAGAAACTAGCAGGGAAATACAGTAAACCAGAGAGGCCGGTCAAAGACAAAGAAGGCAAGCCAATCACCGAAATTCAACAACAGCGTAACAGATGGGTGGAATACTTCGAGGAACTCCTGAATAGGCCGGCTCCAATGAATCCACCGGACATCGAAGCAGCACACATAGATCTTCCTATAGATGTCAACCCACCAACGACGGAAGAAATTAGAATGGCCGTCAGACAAATCAAGAACGGGAAAGCAGCAGGACCCGACAACATACCAGCTGAAGCACTGAAATCAGACATCGAAGCAACCACAAGCATGCTTACCTTCTATTCAAAAAGATTTGGGAGGAGGAACAAGTGCCGATGGACTGGAAAGAAGGACACCTCGTCAAGATTCCAAAGAAAGGAGATCTGAGCAAATGTGAAAACTACAGAGGCATTACACTACTGTCAATACCAGGGAAAGTCTTCAACAGAGTGTTGCTGAACCGGATGAAGGATGCAGTAGACGCCCAACTTCGAGATCAACAAGCTGGATTCCGTAAGGATCGGTCGTGCACAGACCAAATTGCAACACTACGGATCATCGTCGAACAATCAGTTGAGTGGAACTCATCACTATACATCAACTTCATTGATTATGAAAAGGCATTCGACAGTGTAGATAGGAGGACATTATGGAAACTTCTTCGACACTACGGAGTTCCTGAGAAGATTGTCAACATTATCCGGAACTCATACGACGGACTACAGTGCAAAGTAGTGCATGGAGGACAGCTGACAGATGCATTCCAAGTAAGGACTGGAGTCAGACAAGGCTGTTTACTCTCTCCCTTCCTCTTTCTTCTGGTGGTCGACTGGATTATGAAGACCTCGACATCTGAAGGAAAACACGGAATACAATGGACAGCTCAGAATCAATTAGACGATTTGGACTTCGCAGACGACCTAGCCCTCCTATCACGTACACACGAACAGATGCAGATGAAGACAGCCAGTGTAGCAGCAGTCTCTGCATCAGTAGGCCTCAGCATACACAAAGGGAAAACCAAGGTCCTCAAATTCAACATGGAGAACAGCAATCCAATCACTCTTGATGGCGAAACTCTGGAAGATGTAGAACCCTTCACATACCTGGGAGCATCATCGATGAACAAGGAGGTTCAGATGCAGACGTAAAGGCGAGGATTGGCAAAGCAAGGGCCGCATTCCTACAATTGAAGAACATATGGAACTCAAAACAACTTTCAACCAATATCAAAGTGAGAATCTTCAATACGAACGTCAAGGCAGTTCTACTGTACGGAGCTGAAACTTGGAGAACTACTACAACCATCATCAAGAAAGTTCAAGTATTTATAAATAGCCGTCTACGCAAGATACTCAACATCCATTGGCCGGATACCATCAGCAACAGCCTTTTGTGGGAGAGAACAAACCAGTTTCCAGCTGAAGCAATCGGGAAAAGACGATGGAAATGGATAGGACATACACTACGCAAGTCGTCAAACTGCATCACGAGACAAGCCCTAACTTGGGATCCTGAAGGGAGGCGGAAAAGAGGAAGGCCAAAGAACACATTACGTCGGGAAATAAAAGCAGATATGGAAAGGATGAATAACAACTGGAAAGGCCTGGAAAGGATTGCCCAGGTCAGAGTTGGATGGCGAATGCTGTTGAGCGGCCTATGTTCCTTCACGAGGTGTAACAGGCGTAAGTAAGTAACGTTTGGAACTGTTACTACTTTTACTTCTATGTGATACGTCTTGCCAATTGAATGCTATTTGCTATATCTGGTTGTCGCTGATTATTATGTCGAAAACCCTTATCACTTGTGATCGAAACGAGAGACCTCTGCAAATTCCCACGACGCGAAATTAAGTACAGGAAGATTGGTATATGTGAAGATTTATTAACCCCAAAACACGATGACGAAGAAGCTCAGAAAGGGCCGAAGATATTCCATCGAATCACCTTTTGGAAGAATATTCTAGGATCCCTACGTGTAGCTTCTTCGAAAACCTATGTACCGTCCTCACACTATGGGATCTCAGTGTGTTGATATAGTGTGGTAGATTAAACTGACTCACATAAATGCCAAGTTCTACGTTGTTTATGAATGAATGACTGAACATTCTAACCATACTTCAACAATGCCAAGCTTAAAGTAATAAAAGCATAGTACACTGTTCTACTATACTCTTATCTTCTACTGTGGTAAACATAATATCATGGAAATCATAACTTTGGCAAAACAAAATCGTCAAGAAATTACAATCACCATACACATACCTTTAAAACGGATGGTGCAATATCGCTAATTTCTCTGTTACTAGATATTGATAATAAAGAACGACAAGTATTTGTATAATCTCTATTCTCATATGTAGAATGAGATGTTGATGCTTGCTGATGATGATATTCAGATCTCATTGTTTTAGCACATGGTAGATTTCTATCAATTTGTGTAATGATACATAATGGAATCTTTTCATTGAATACATTTTGGGCCTAAATTTCTCAAAAAAAAAAAGAAAAATTGAACAATCAGGAGAATAAAATACTGCTTGTGTGGGTTATGCTACTGATGTCGACAGATATAAGTAGTATGTATCATCAATCAAAAGTGGATTGTCTAGAGGTAGAAGTTTATGAAGACCGATGGAAATAGAACGAGAATAGAGAATGATTGGTGTGGAAACGAAAGAACAATGAAGTCTAAGACGATTGATTGGCATTCTGTAAATGAACTATTTACTGTACGGTTTTTAGATTTCACAAAGTGATTCTGTAATTTTGTATTGAATTACATCCCATTATTCCATTTGTGTTCTCGTTCACTACAGAATTACACTTAATTGATTAAAATGAATATTTAATTTTGTACAGGACTGTATTGTTTAACACCTAGTGAACAAAGTTTGGAAAAGGATAACCCATTGACTGGTAGACAAACATTTTAACTACTAAGGAGCCAATATAACACATAAATGAAATGAAATAAATAGGTTTAACTGTTTAAAGAATGTTAAAAGACTGTAGTATAAAAAGCTGCGAAATTTGATTCATGATATTTTGCTTGATTTCTATTACATGTTTCGATACTTGGATTAGGACAATACCATAAGCCATATAGGTAGGTTGATAATAATGTTTGAGTCAGAATTGGAACAATTGCAATCTAAAAACAACATAAAGTCAGTCATTAATTGCTGATTTTTATTTACCTACAAATCTGCATTATCGTTCACGCGAGCGTCTCCATGTACAGTTAAAACTATTAACAACTCAATCCTGGCTTGTTTAATAAAAGTAGTAATTAAAGCTGACACGAAGGAATGATTCACAGTAACATGTCGTTTTAATAGTTATCTGCCTAAATCCGTCCGACTAAGAGTTCTTCAAACGTCTAAGATAATAACTATTCGGATAAAAATAACCGGAACTTTGTCTTCAAGCGCTTTACCAACCTAGACAAACTTTCGGCCCAATTAGTTAACAATTATTTTGATGACATAACCTGAATAATGTACCTATAAATTTCCTCTTTATATTTTCATAACTTAAATTTATCTTATTGATACGTCTTATGCATTGAAAGCAAAAAAATTTCTGAGGTATAGCGCACAGTTCACAGAAAAGAATGCATATATTATTATAACGCTCGCAGACGTTCCGAGAAATCACACTCATCTATATGATGAGTGTGACTTATCCTTTAAACTGGATTGACAAAAGGAACTACTGACTTCAATATGTTACACTGAACATAATTAGCAAAAACCATCGTTACCGCATTCATGAGGAATTGATGCAAAATACATATTTACCTTAATAGTGTCAACTTCACAACATATTGAATGGGGAACCTGGAGGAAATTCTAGAAGTTTCGATAAAACAAAAAAATACACTATATCTGATAATTTCCATTATCCAACATTCTGTACGGCAGTTATATTATTCAACGGACATCCAGTCAAACGAGATAATTTCCGTCATCGAAATGTTAGGTAATGAAGGATTTTAGGGTACGAAAATAGGTATATTACAACGTTATGAAAGTTAGATGTTTTAAGGCAAGCTTATATTTCATCATTTTCACCATAAACTGAGACATGTATGGATGGAAAATATACTATTTCTACAGTTTTTCAACACGCCAGAATAAGGTTGAGTTTCCTACGATCAGATTCGGTTACTTCTTCAACGAAAGTGATCAACGTCTGTTATGCAATTTCACCGTATCAACACTAAAACCAAATATGAAACCAACTATAATAAATTAGCAGGAATAAATCTGTTAATTTCTAGGTTAAACAGCCAAAACCAGACTAAGAAAGTTTATTACACCTTATTTGTTCGGGTTGTCATAGCTTTAAAAAGCATAAAAACATCAGGTCAAAACAAAATCAAACGGAATTAGGTTTATGGACAATACATAGTCGGAAAGGGTTCAGAGAAGGATAAAAGGTGAGTGACGTTGTTGTAGTTAATAATATCTGTCGCCAATTTTAATTAACATATTCAACTATTAGCATCTGAGTTTCTCAAATTATCGTAAAACTACACCTTATCTATTAGCGTTAGTTTTATTTTGCACCGGTAGGTATCAATCAAGTACACTATTAACTCCTGATTTTTCAACCATTGTAACCCATGATTAAACTCACCTCAGGAGAAGTTATTTGTAAGGATTCTTGGGAATTCGGGTCATCAGATATGGACGGAATACTACGATAAAAGGTCGTTTGACTTTCGTTGTGTTGTATTGACTCGTAAGATGTTTTCGGTTTTGGTTGTTTGGCTTCAAAAACCCCTGACTGTATCTGAGGAGTTAGACGAAATAATCCAGCTAAATAACTAGAACCTTTAAGAGCCATCTCACGATCTAATGATTTCTGAATATGATTGACACAGTTCAGAACATCGAGAGAGCACTTCTTGTTTTCATAGCTCTTTATATATAATACATTATAAGCCGTCATTTGTGCACTATCAAACAAAAAATCAAGATTATTACATATGCAACTATAGTGAATGAAACTGCATCGTAACTGTATATAAGTAATTGGTGATACAGCATACCAAAAACTGTGTTTGAATAGTTGGGTAAAAATCAAGAGTATTACGATGTAAGTTCATGTGACTTTCTTTGTGTTGTCTTGACTAATGATACGTTAATATTATTGCCCGTTTACTCAATAATACCTTAGCTTTGAAAATGCTCGGATGTATTCAAGGGATTACACGAAGTAGTCTAGTTAATAAATAAAGATCATTTAGAAGCTTTTCACAAAATAATGACTTCTCAATACGAATGATAATCTAAAACATTGAGTAAGATGCAGACTACGTGGTTGGAATCCGCGTGACTATCGTAACGAATGGTTGGAGACTGAGTGACATGGCCCAGAACCGATCACAATGGCGTCGGTGTATACACTCTCTGTGTCATCTTAAAATGAGAGATTAAAATTACTTTATATCTTTCTTTCTACGAAATAGTTCTTTCTTCTTGTACTCTATCCTTACTTCCAATATTTTTTTATTCATAAGTACTATCGATGTAACTACTCTTACGAATTTGGCGTTCATCTTGTTGTGCTTGGACCGATGCATACATCAAATAACAAACAGACAATCTATTTTGTTCCAAGTTTACTTTTCAACAAATTGTCAGATATTCAAGCTCAATTTAGAAACTGAAAGATGAGAATGGGAACACCTTTCAATACTTACCACAGTGATTTATCTTCTGCACTATATCCCCTACGAAGTTACTTACCGCGAAAGGTTCCAGTGTTTCCGTCAAAGAACAAGCTGATAAAATACTAAGATTTCCGTTAGTTTCTTTACAAACAACAAGTGAAGTTTGAAAACTACATGCAGAAATATCACACTAGGGTGATGCGCAACAACTAGGTTAGCTTGTCAAGTTTAAACTAAGCAAAAAAAGTAAAATTTAAATGACAGTATACATAAGTGTATAGCTGATAACAAAATGTGACAGCATGAACTATCAAGTTTAACTTTACAGTTTTATCCTCACCTATAGTTCAAGAAGGAAGAGAGGGATTCTGTATATTTTAATGTTGTTAAGCTTTTTTTAATATCCTACAGTAGACACTGTAAATATGGGAGAAAAAATGGTGTTTTAAGTAGTTCAGGTTCATACTGCGAAATATCCCAAGCTGCCCATTTTGGGGAAGCCGCTATAGTAAATTCTGGGGAAATGAGACCCAACCCCCAAAATTTCCCCAAACGTTAAGGAAGACAATTTCATTTTGGGGATTTCCCCAAAGTTGGCAGCTTGGGATGATTAGATCGTCAATAATTTATAGAACCACTGCCCCCATAATTTAGAAAAACGTAACTTCAATACACAAAAAACTACCTCATCCTGTCTATTCAGTGTCAATTTGGGCTATTTCAAGTTAACATCAAACGCCATTATCAGAGTGCATGAGACTTTTCGCTATCACCTGCAACGATAGATGGTTTTATATAGACTACATTGTTTTTTAATGCAAACATTATTAGTCCGCACGATTATGTGAGGTTTCGGCATTATATGTGACGTGATTAAGCGACTCAAACTGTAAGTTTTCACACTTATAACTTTATTTTAAACCTTATAATTAGTTGAATTTTCTAAAAGCCAACTTAGTATTGCTCGGATGCTGTCTATACATCATGGTCTTACAATAATCTCTTAACTATATGCACTAATCGGATTAATCAATCAACAATATCCATACTAAACTTTTCTGTCTAAACGTTACTAACTTTACGAGAATCGTGATCAAGTCGAGCGCAAAATTACAGCTGTTGAAAGTGTCGACAAAATGTTCAATCAACCTCGTGACAAACAAACAAATACTGTCAGACCCATAGTCGTTAAAAACATAAACTTATGTACAAAAATGCACGAGACTGTAGCGGTTAATAAATCCCTAAAATAAATAGCTCTGTAAGTTTTCGACATTGGATGCTGACCATACGTTTTAGTGGACTCATCTAGCTGAAAGCGCTCGGTCATGCATCCGCACCAGATCACGTGTGCTCAACATCTACCGCAATCGCTAGCCAGATTAGATCAGAGAATTCCGATATATTGGTTATCGTCAAATACACTCTTCCTATCTCCTCGACTATGTTTTTTGATTTCTCTTGGCGTGTACAAATTATATTAGTTGTTGCTGGTAAACGCGTTGTCAAACACTGAATACCTGTGCCATCTTCAAGACAAGAAAACTTTTGACTTATTATCAAGTTATTCAACTATTTAAAAGGGCGAGCTCTCGATATCTAATCTGTCGGTTTTAGTAGATACACAGACCACACTCTTTAGTCGTAAAAGTACGGTAGATACAATACACCTATCTTTTTACAGGGTTTTTAGAATGTCGATCTCACAAGCCTTATCCATGGACTCAAACTGGCAGGTATTCATTTTTTACACCAGTGGACATGTCTAGTTTATACGCCAACAACCGATTATTCAAGCTAAGGGAAACTAACTTATTCTCTCAAATTACACAAAGTTCCGGCCAAGTCTAGTGAAAATCTGCACCAGGGTTTCCAATGTTTTTGATTAATCCAGATAAATTTCCTTGGTCATTATGTTCTGGAGCATTGCGAATACTACCAAATTTGGGGGAAAATTCACAACCCGGGTGATATGACTCAGTGTCGAAGCTGGGTGAAAATGGTTGTGTTATTTTCAACACTTCAAAGCCAAAAGTAGTCCCCATTCGAAAGCTTGAGAACCACACAGAATTCTAGAAGCACCAAAAGTTGAAAAACAAAGTGTTTTGGATCCCTACGTCCCTAAATCTTACGTTAACTGTAAAAAACGCCCTTACAGAAAATCGTTTGGCAGTAGTTTTAACAGTAGGGCTATTCATTTTATATTTCACCAGTTATACTCGGTTCCTCTCATAGTATGGAAACATAATACTTCCTCCCTTACTCCAGAGAGGTAGGTTCGAGATTCAGATTTACGTTCTGAGGACTGAAAGCCGGTAGAATGTGCTAGCCTTTTTCTGCCAAGCTTTCGTGAGGGTCTAGCCTTCCTTTTAATCAGTCATTTTACGTTGTGGACACCACTTCTTAGAATAAAGCTTTCCAATACTTGACGACGCGGTGTGAACACATGTATACTATGAGTATTTTATTCATTATTGGCTTTTAAACCAGCATCCTATGTCCCCTGATTCGTCCCAGTTTAGTGTGAAGAAAGAGAATATGTCGGGTCTAGATTTTTAAACTACTCTCTGAATTTTTGTGAATATAACCGAACTAACTTCTAAACAATAGATGAGATAAAAATATTGTCAGAGGTGTTCACACTGGCATCATCCCTTTCATTCACAGGTAAGCTTGTAGTGGCATTGGACTATAACCATACAATCCTCAAAGCTTAACATGAGACCCCTTGAAAAATGGATATTCAACATTTAAAGCAGAGAAATAACTAACGATGGAAAGTGCGGGAACAAGGAATTGAACTGATTGGAGTTGATCGTATGGCATGGCTCAGTCATGCAGGCGTAGTCCCTGATGAATGTTATTTCACATCTTTGATTCATATTAAATATACTGTTCTATCTCTAGCCTAAGTTTGTCCTCTATCATGTATTGGTAATTGTTAAAATGTAGTGAGTTCGCGTAGACGATGATGTGACTTCCACGTAAGAACTTATAGATTAGGCGGTTATATCATGACAAATCTACAATTATAGGACTAGGTCTATTATTAGATCAGTACTAATATCATAGTAGACCATAATTCTACAAACTTATTTGTCGTGACTTCAACATGCCTCAAATTTCTTGGATTCCAGCCAAGGAGCCTTGACGTTATGATTCATTTATTGAATGTCTGAAGCCTGGACATTGGAGTCAGTATGTCAGTAGACCTACCAGACATTAAAATGTCTCAAACTTAATCTCTACCAGTGGCCTAACACCCAATACTGTACATATTAGAAAAATGTTTCCAAGTAGCGATCATATGTAGCATTAATATAAAAACCGCGACCGGTAGACGTAAAACTGCAACACTACGTAGGAAATATCGCAAGGTCGATTGGAAAAACGTCTAAAATTATCTGAGAAACACTGAATAGGGAACCTCACATACTGTAAAGAATGCCGACACACTAACTATTATATTCTATTACAACACCAAAAAATCTTCAACAAAATCGCACCTTTAGCATACTGGGGGCCTGGGTTTTCTAAAGATCTGATATACCGGTCTCTGCGCGAAGAAGCCTTCAAAGACATTGTACTCGATTCCACAATTTTAATGACTTTTCCTCTTTAGTTATGGTCGTATAAATAAATGCCAGACAGAGGCAATACATAAACAAAAAACTGTCGCGCAGAAAAGAAGTATCGATCTTAATAATAACTCCTCCACACTTATAAAACTACATCAAAATAAAGTTAAACGTACTAAATCGAAACAAACAAGTAGACGAAGATCGTAAACGTGTTACGGAACTATTCAGTGAACACTTTGTGACAAGTTTCATTTAATCGATTTTTCAACGGCGATCCGTAATGACGTGATTTGGTCGGCATATAGCCAATCCTCATGAAAGCTAGCTCGTTAATCTCGAGGCTGGATGCCTTTTCGTGCCTTAAGGTAACCCTCGTGCTATTGATAGAAGAAACCAGAGAAGTAGTGAAGAGGTCTTTATTTCGATCTTCGCGCAGTCACAGTGGAGCGTGAGGTTATCTGTTCAGACAAACAAAAGCTCTCAACATTCAATATAAGATAATAGGGATTATAACGCTTATAAAAAATAAGGAAGTGAATGAATACTTGAACAATACTGTTTTGGAATATGCTTGGTTGTTTGGGGCCAACTCTTAACCAACCAACCTGAGGTGTTACATTAGCTTCCCCCTAGAATTGACTTCCATAGGAACGTCGGTTCGATTAACCTATCTATCGAAAACACCTTAGTTCTAT